CATTTATTTTTTGAAACATATAAAGAAATTGAATTTGAATATGACAAGATTACTCCTAAAGAAATTGTTGCTCAAGTGGAAGTGGAGTATACATTTCACGTATTATCTATAGAAAGAAGTACTTTGATCAAATGTCAATGATGAATAAAACATTATGCTGAAAAATCTTTTGGAGTTTATTATTTATATTTAATTAAACTCTTTATTTTTCTAGGTTAAGGTTTGAACAATTGTAAAAATATGAAAATACTTTGGAGTTTTGTTTGATTTTAAAAAATTCCAAATTGCAGATGATAATTATTTGAAGCATGGATGTCATAAGCTTGAAAAAAAATAAACATGAGATGGTTTATGATATTGATAAGAACAAGTTTATTTTTTTTAGCTGCAAATTGTTAGAAACTGTTTTGCCAAAAGATACGAAAAAAGTGATTGAAGTTTTAGACTTTATAAAAATGACGATTATTTTTCAAATGTGTGAATTGTTTATAGAATATTACTGATATATTGTATTTGCCAAGAGAAATTGTTTTGCCTAAAGACACCAAAAAAGTGATTAAAGTTTTAGTCCATATAAAAATGGTGGTTATTTTTCAAATGTGTGGATTGCTTATAGAATATTACTGATATATTGTATTTGTTGAGAGAATCTTCTCAAAGTTGATTTTGATAAAATCCTACTTTTGGTCAACAATGTCACAAAAAATGTTGATTGAATTGATCATGGTGTCCATTGAAAAAGAAGTTTTAAAACATAATTATTGTAATTGTGTATAGTTGTTGATTTTTTTGTCAAAAATTATAGAAAAATAAATTTAATCTAGATACTTAAAAGTTTTAGATTATTACTATCGTAACTTTGAATATTTTTATGTAAAAAAAAATATTATTTTTTTATTTTATATATTTTAACATATTATATATATATATATATATATATAGGGATCCAATATTTAAAATTGGTCTAAGGCTTCCAAAATCTTAAGGCAGTCCTTGTTGGGACCCACCTGGTGAGCATGTTGGTATTGATTGATATCTATATGGAATTTGATGTTAACGGGACGCGGTGGAGTGCTTCCAGCATTATGGAAGGTCTTAAACATGAGCCGAGATAAGTTACAATTCGGGGTCAAAAACAAGATGGCACCAGAGCAATTCCTTCATTTTTGTCCAATTAAGCTTCAAATCACTTCATTTTGCTTAGTTTACCTTCAAATTTGATATTTAACATATATAAGTTAAAAACAACACAAAGTAAATAGAAATTTGCTCGATTAATTTAAACAAAACACCGTTTTAGGACCAAGATAAGCTTGTAAAACACATTATCACTTAACATGGCACCCGTATGTGTAACCATGGGAGCGCTGGTTATAAGGAAACCGACAACTATTGCTTTGGTGTTGTGGCATTGGAAATTTCTTGTGGAAGAAAATTGATTGATCCCAAGGCCCAAGAGGATCGAGTGAACTTGGTTGAAAATGGGTTTTGAGCCTTTATGGATCAGGAAAGTTACTTGAAGCAGGTCACAAAGCTCGATTCTAATTTCAACGTGCAAGAAATGGGACACTCGATGATTGTAGGCCTTGCATACTCATCCGGATAGCAAACTTCATCATTCAATTAGGCAAGCATTGCTTGTTAAGAATGCATATATATTGCATTCCAATACGAAATATGCTTCATCGCCATATGCCACCGCCACTTCAAAAAGCAGCAAAATTAACCATTATCTTCAATATATAGGGATATTACAAAATCTTCGAAGTTTACTACCTCGTCTAGAGTTTCTTCGCCACCAGTGATAAATGTGATTTATACACTTATTCGAACGCCAAAAGTTGATATTTAGGAGTCAATTTGATGAAATTACTACTTAATTTGGTTAAATATTGATTGTTTTTAAGATAAACTCGAGTTTGGACGACCATTGATGAAAATGTGAAAATCGGCCAAATAGGGGCAAAAAAGAAATAATTGAAATTTTGAGGACTAAATTGCACATCTTCAAAAGTTGATTGGAATCAAGAGTGGACAATTGAAGATTACATATATCAAATTGGATAAAATTAAATGATAAAGGACTTAAAAGAAGTACAAAATAGAATCCAAGATGCAAAGAAGAAGAAATTAGAGACTAAGATGAACTAAAGCGGATATTACATACGAGCAATTGTAGGAAATTACCTTGTGTGATCGCATCCCTTTATTGATTGAAGCAATGAACATGAAGAAGTGAACAAATTGCGCAAACGTGTGATCACATGGGAATATACCATGTGATCATCAGGGCGAAACCAGAAGAGACAAAAAAAAATTATTCGACTAATGCATAGAAAAAAAATTCCACTAAAATGTAAATGAGCCTGGGAGCCAAGCCATGCCCCCCTTCCTACACCCCTGGCGATCGCACGCGACAACAAATTTTCTATTTCCTCTTTTGACTGAAACTCCTTATCGAAATTAATTCTCACACATTTTAACCTACTCTACGAGCACAATTTCAGACCACAGCATTAGAGAGGAGCAAGAGGCAAATAAGATTTCATCATTCCAATATGCAAAGTGAAGATTATTTCTTGATTAAGAAGGTGCAACAGGAGATTGTTTGAGGAAGCTTGAAGAGATTTTAGACGTCGTGAATTTAGTTGATGTCACATAAATCAAACATGTTATGATTTTATAATGCTTGACTCAACGTTTATTTTATTCATTATTTTGTTATTTGACTATGATACCGTACATTTATGGAATTTTAACGTTCAATCTGCCTCACTTTTGTACATCCATTTTGTTCTAATGATTATCTTTTCATTGCTTTAACATTTCATTTTGTACCATAATTAAAGTTAGTTTATTTCACTTAGAGCATTTTCAAAAGACTCCTTATTTTTAAAGAGTATATTTAGTGATTTAGAGAGCGTATGTAAATTAGAGAATAAATTTTTTTAAGCACTTCAACAAACTCTTTATCTATAACACTTAATTTTCCTACTTCCAAACAATATTTATTGTTTTTTCTTATATTTTATTTTCACTAGCTTCCTTCAAATTATTATATTATTTCCTTCTATTAGAAATTGAAATACCTTAAAGGCATTTAATTATGAAGAGTGTCAAACGCGATATCTATTTTAAAATGTTGATTTAAAAAATCTCTTGAAACATAAGGGTTGACTGTCAAATAGAGAGGTTCGATTTAAGAACCTCTTGGAGATGCTCTTAAGTCATAAGTCATTCAAAAAAAATGGTGACAATGAAAAAGTTATTTAAAAATAATGTTTACTCATTTTTAACCATAATCAAAACATGCTCTCTTAGTTCGGAAAACTTAATATAAATCAAATGCAACGATAAAAATGAATTATCAAAGCATATCTCGTGATTAAACCCGCGTTTGGTAGAGATTAAAATCAATTTTTTAGTAAATTTTGATAAAAAATGATGAAATGTGTAGTTGAAAAATTGTAGGTCACATGAAATGTGTAGTTAAAATTAATTGTTGACTTTGACTTAAAATTTTAATAGAATTTTAATCCAAATCAAATATAGAGATGGAAAAAAACCCCTTTCAACTCGATATCCTCGGATCCCGCCCGAATGGGACGGGAATTACTCGCTTAACCGGGTAAACGAGACGGAGATGGGTGGGGGTCACTGCCCCGGGAGAAACGTAGTCCCCGCCCCGCTACCCACCTCGTTTAAAGTTAATTTCAAATTTCAAATTTTTATTAAACAAAAATAAAAAATTTATCATCATTTTCAAAAATAACATAAGTTGTTCTTAACAATTTGAAAAAAAAAATGATAATATAAACTAACTAAAGACATAAAAAAATAAAAAGAAACCCGCCATGCCCCACTTTAATCGGGTATGAGATGGAATAAAGTGACAAAAATATCTAACGAGACGGAAGTGGAAATGGCCGACTCTTCTTGTACCCTTCCGTTGTCTTCCCTAACCAAATAGGAGCTAAGTACATAGTCTCTATTTGATTTACTTAAAACATATATTTTAATTAAAATCAACAATATATAAAAATATTTTTTATGAGATTCTCAATTTTTATAAAGAGTGTGTTTGATAGATATTATTGAAAAAATAATGTATTTTAAATAATGATATGATGAGAATTATATGATTAAAAAATAAGGAAAAGTTATTGATGTGATGAAAAATATTATTTTATTGAAGAATGTGAAGTTGAAAATGAGTTTTGAAAGAATGTGTGGTTGAAAATGTGTATGAAACTGGGGCAAAGTTTTAACAACACATTTTATCAATTTTAATCAAAATTTACTTAAAATTTAGTTTTTAGAAAACCGAAATTGTAGTTGAAAGACTAAAAAGCTTTTAATTGCAATAACTAATAATAGGTTATTTCGTTATGCAACTTTTTTGAATTAATCGGGCCGCGAATTAGGGCTATAAGAAGCCTGTGGAAATGGGATATCGCTATCTCCAATACTCAAATCATTGTTTCCACTCTCTTTTACAGAGAAAGCATACGGCGCCATTTTCACTATCGGACTGGAAAAGAGGAACGCTGAAAGGACAAACGAAAACCTAACGTCGTCACATCTCCGTCTTTGGTACACCCTCTTCTCCTTCTCCGAATCTTCTAATTCCCCAATAACTGGAAAAATCGATCCTCGAGAATTCATCTAATTGTTAATATAACTTACCTTTACATTAATGAACTAATATCAATTGTGGAGTCAATAGTTGTTTTTATAATTTCTAAGCCGCGAGATTATTATCATTTTGTTCAAATTTTATTGAAAATGCTCAACTGGAATAGTTCAGGTGCGGATCGTATAATGATTTGAGGTTTTGATGAAAGTGAACCAAGTTAAAGCCTGTATTGATAATTTCAGGCATTGCAGATAACAAGTGTAAAGACAGAGTATGAAGGTCTAATTGATCGCGTTCAAAAGAGTGTGTTAATTTCACCTTTTATATAGGTCTGTCCTCCCCATAATTGGCTGGGACCAGTTACATGGATTTGAGTGACGCTTTGCAGATGCTTCCTCCTCCACCTGGGAGTTTCATTGACCGTGAGGAACTTATTCAACATGTTGGGGAGTTTGCCATATCCCAGGGATATGTTGTTACCATCAAACAATCGAAGAAGGACAAAGTTGTAGTCCTTGGTTGTGATAGAGGAGGTGTTTATCGAGATAGGCGTAAATCCATTGACGAGGCCTCTGGCGAACATGCACGCAAAAGAAAATCTGGCTCTCGACTTACAAACTGTCCCTTTGAACTTGTGGGTAAGAGGGAGGATGGTTTGTGGGTACTTACTGTTAAGAATGGTTCACACAACCATGAACCAATGAAGGACATCTCCGAGCATCCCTCTGCTCGTCGCTTTAATGAGAAAGAAGTAGTGTTAATCAAAGAGATGACAGAAGCGGGTCTAAAACCACGCCAAATACTAAAAAGATTAAGACAAAGCAATCCTGAACTCTTATCAACACCAAAGCATGTATATAACATTAAAGCCAAGCTCCGGCAGGGGAACACTACAGGTTCAGTCTCCTTTATAATACTTTGTAAAATTACATTTATGTGATTTGATTATCTGCTTTATCCTTTTCATGGTTGGAGTAGTTATTATCTATTAACTTATAAAATACCAAGATATTTACATTTATTTGAGAGAAATTATCATCTTTTCACCACCTTGTGTCAGCCTCTTGCACTTTTATAGTAATCCATGACCTTCGATCAATTTAAGTGTAAACCTCATTTTCTCAAGGAATGAAGGATTTTCTTCACAATAAGAAGAGATTAGGTTGGCTCGGCATGGTGCCCCTAAGCACATAAGAAGACATGAAAGGACCCGCACATCAGAAGGGGGTACACCAGCTATATCATCCAACAAGGATGATAGAAGAGTCTATCTCACAAGCAATGCCTATTAAGGTGTTTGTTTTAATAGATTTTAGCACTCTCTTGAATCAAATTGACTGCATGATAGCAATCATACATATTTGTAGAACTTTACCGGCCTTGCTGTTTTCAGATTCCTAAATGCTAGTAGAGAAAATCTATCTAAAAGCTTGAAAATTAGTAATCTTCCAAAATGGCAAAACAATCTGAGCCAGATCTCTCAAACAAATTTGCAAATTAAAACCAAGCATAAATGATAAATCATAAACGTTTTTCGTTGCTTTTCCAACACATATCACTACTTATGGGGTTAAACTCTTGGGTTTCCTCCAACAAGTAAATTATGTTTTTTCACAATTAATATCATGCAGTTATGCATGTTACATTCTTCATGTTTTGGGTTCTACCTCTCTCCCTTTCTGTTGCCCTCCCTCCATTCTTTTTCTCTTGCACACCCATTTGTCATTTTCTCATCTGTTCGTTTTTCATTTGCTTTTTTTCCTCTTTTTTTCTTTAGAGCTGGGGGACAATGGGTGCATGGCAAGAATTTTAAATCATGTGTCCTAGCGGAGACCCCCGATTTATTTATTTATAAGTATATTCTGAAGATGTTGAGATGCTACATAAGTAGTGAAACAAGACAATCTCTCATACTTGTCACTTCCTCGTGACAAAACTCTTTTTTGCCGGTGATGTAGTGAGGAGATTGAAGACATTGAGACCTCTTACAGCTGCAGAAGGAAACTCCGAGCCTTCAACATCGACTGAGTCATCATGGAAGAAGCGCTATCCCCCAGTAATTTATACACTCCAACTTGGTAGTTTTTCTGTAGTATGCTTTCATTTTGGAAGGTTGGGAGTGTTGAGGCAGCAGATATTTTTAATTATTAGTTGTAGTAAGCAATAGGGATGTTGGGTTTCTGATGCTGGCCATAAGAATGGGTTCTCAAAGTCTTAAAACCACACATTTATGCTGGAAATTAAATTCTCGGGCTGTATTAACCATGGAAAAAAAAATTTGCTTAACATAGCATATGTTTGAAAGTTTTGGGGAATTGCTGCTTCTCTTCAAAAAGAATGCCCTAATCAGACCCTCCATTTTAGCACTTCCGTTCCCACGATTCTCCACCTTTTACTTTATATCTGCTATTCTGTTTCCACCAAATAGATTTACCTTCCTCCCAAAAATGGATATTGTTGCAGGAGCTTGCCCTTGTGTAGATAGGCAACCCTTCCTATAAATGCTTGAGTAAGTAATCACGAACTTCACATGCTGACATGGTATCCAATCTGAATTATTAATGATATATCTTGCAGAGGGTCCCCAATCTCATTGGTGGTAGATTTGTTAACTCGCAATCATCGACGTCTATTGATGTGTTAAACCCTGTAAGTTCATAACATTTTAAGAACTTTGTCTGTTTTCTTTCTATCAGCTTTTAACACGTATAGTTTCCAAATGAATTATAGGCTACACAGCAAGTAGTCTCTCAAGTTCCTTTATCGACTGTTGAGGAATATAAAGCTGCAGTATTTTCAGCAAAAAGAGCTTTTTCATCATGGCGGAATACACCAGTTGCAACCCGTCAACGTATCATGTTCAAACTTCATGAGCTTATTCAGAGAGATATTGTAAGTGTAGTTCTACTCATTGATTTTTTTCATCAATTTTCAAAGGTTGATTAAGGACACACTATAATTCTGTTCCAGGATAAGCTTGCCAGCATTATTACGATGGAGCAGGGTAAGACATTAAAGGATGCATTTAATGACGTGTCCCGTGGGATTGGTGAGCACCTTTATCTTCTTCTTGTGTAATTCGCCTTCAATTAAATTTAATTGGATCTAGAGTTGAAAATGGAATGCCTTGATCAAACATATTTAGTTGGAATTTGATTGAAATGGACATGAGAGATAATTGAAAGTGTTTCTGAATCTTATTATGCCCCTGTGTAGCCTAAATTTTTTAAAACTTATTTTCAATTACATATTTTATAGGACTCACAACTTTTATCAATTTTTCAACCATCCAGGTTTCATTAACTTTTATCGAAATGTACTAAAAATCTGATTTTTAGCCAAACCAAACAGGGGCTAAAGCTGGCAAGATTGGTGAAGTTCATTTAGTAGCCAAAGGGCTTTCTCTAATTACCTATTTGTCCATAGTCCATAATGCTTAGAAAAGTGGATAGTCTGGATGACAGTTACCAGTAAATAAGAATAGAACTGGTTCGAAATCTTCTCCCTGCCTATTTAAAGCAAGCAAGAAAAGAAGGGGGGGATTCAATATGTTCAAAATACAGTGTTAACAAAAATCAACATTCTGCCAGATCTTCATTTCCTATAGTTGTTTCACAGAACTGGTGGAAAATGCTTGTGGAATGGCAATGTTGCAGATGGGGGACTTTGTTTCAAATATATCAAATGGAATTGATAGTTATAGCATTCGCGAGCCTCTTGGTGTTTGTGCTGGAATATGTTCTTTCAGTTTTCCCGCCATGATCCCATTGTTGGTAAGCTATTATTTCTCCCCAGTCATCCATATGCCATTAGTTGTTTATTCAGTATGTTCACTTTTATTATTGAATACTAGTGAGCTTTTAAATAGTCTAATGCCCCTGCTAGAATGGAATATAGTTTGCAGGAGATACAAATGATGCATCCTAAGATACTGCTTAATCAAGTAGAGTTAGTGCCACTATGTTTGGATGTGAATTGGGATGGATAATTATAAAGTACAAAATCCTGATGGGGTGAGAAAAGTGGATCTCTTGTTGGTTACCATACATCTTCTAAAATCCTAAACTGGACAGTGCCTTTGTTTGAGAAAAATGGAGTGAAAAAGATACGGGAACTGAGAACATCTAGGAAGGCATGTATCTTAAATTAAGATCTCACCTAGGATATTTGGTTTAATTTTCAGTTCTCATTAAGTTACGAATCTCACTTCTAATAATTGCTATGTTATTCTTTAGGAGTTGAATTTTTTTTTTTTAACTCTTTTTGCTTTTACAGTTTGTCCAATGATCGCATGCATTCTCTTCTTGTTTCTCGTGTTTTTTCCTTAAGTGTTACAATTTTATTGCAGATGTTTCCAATTGCGATCACATGTGGCAATACCTTTATTTTAAAACCATCAGAGAAAGCTCCAGGTAATAACTAAAGGATGCAATGAGTTTGAAAAAATCGAGACATCTTTAGTTTAAGATATGTTTATCATTTTGATTATATTCTTTGTAGAGTTGTACTGCGAAATGTTCTCTCAGTTTATAAATGTATTTGTATGTCAATCAGTCCCTTGTGCATGAAATTTGCTATATATACTAATTTTGGTGTACAAACTATCATTATTTTCTTAAGAAGCACGGCAAATCTTTGCTTGTGATACTCGTATATTTTCTACTCTTTCCTTCATTCTTCATTCATCTGTGCTCTCAGGGGCATGTGTCCATCTTGCTGAGTTGGCAATGGAAGCTGGTCTACCTAAGGGTGTCTTAAATATTGTTCATGGGACCAATGTAAGCTTTAAGTTTGTCATTAGTTAAAATCTGTACTACTTATCAAAAAAAAAAAAAAAGTTAAAATCTGTACTTCTTGATATCCTTGTATTGAAGTGAGTTCAAGGGATGTAATCATTTCTGGTACCATTATCTGTATGCCATTGAATTTAATATTTGGATTTTTGACGTATTGGATTATGGTATTGCCAGAAGGTGCAGTTGCCTTTTTTTCCTACTTTTACTCCTTTAGACTGCGTGTTGAACCACATGACATCAACCTACTTTTATTGTTTTATGCACTTAACTGATTATTTTTTGTTTTTGACATCTGTGCAGGACATTGTTAATGCTATCTGTGATGATGAAGATATTAAAGCTGTGTCACATGTTGGTTCAGATGCAGTAAGTTTTTGCACAGCAACAATATTTGCTGGATATCATTGGAATGACATTATGACAGTCATATAGAAGTTAATGCAGTATAAAAGGAGTTGGAATGTTCTTTTGGGAATGCTGCTTCAGAATGTGATTTGCATAGTAGATTGTGGAGAAAGGAGTACAAGTCTATAGTGTTCCTTTCCATGTACATGGAGAAAGACAATAAGAGGATGGTGGTTAAAAAGAACTTACCTCATACGTGCAAAATGGATTTCATACTCCTTGACATCACTTAATATTCTGTGTCAGAATGCTCAAATGGTTACTGTTGGGATGATCCAACCATTCTTACAAGTCACATAATAATATCTTCACTATTTTATGCAGGAAGTGTCTTTTATAATCTACCTGTACCAAAGCCCTGACATCTTTTCTTCTGACCCCTACACAAATATAAAAAGATCCAAATTTTGGAACCTTGTCCCCTTCAGTGGGTAGCCTATCATATATAATATGACTGAGGGCTTGTTAGCATTGTTAGCATACCTGCGGCTCATTGTCACGTGTGCACTGACATCTTGGCCTACATCATTTATTTGGCTTTGTATGGATACATTGTAGTGTATAAGAGGTGGCTTACACCTCTTCTAGAGGTGTCCCCAACTATGTGAAGTGAGCACTCGGTAACTTTGCAACGCCAACCATTGCATACTTTTGGCTAGTGCCTCACTGACTCCATTGATCATTGCTTTTCCCTTACTCGCTCCATCCTTACTCTGAGTGATCTTGAATTAATAATCCACACTCTAATGGCATGCCAAAACATTATACTTCATCCTATGTATTAGGTTATGGTGTATAAGTAGACACATATTTTTAAATAAAGCACAAGTTTTATGGCCCTCATTTATCTTGCCTTATATGCATTATTTTGTTATGATTATACCATTTATTTATGGGTTAGTTATATCCTTACATATTTACTTTTGTCTGTTTCCAGCCGGGAACGTATATTCATGCTAGAGCATCTGTCAACAGTAAGTGTGTTCAGGTAGAGCAGTTCTCCAGTTTGGTAGCTGCGCGTGCTCTAGTTGCTAGAGAACAGTTAGTGTTGGTCTTTTTTTTCTGGATATATCAAGATTGTTTGGGTTGTTATGCCTTAGTTAATTGGCTATTCTCTTCAGATCAATGTTGGTGCCAAGAGCCATGCAGTAGTGATGCCAGATGCGAACATGGAGGCGACTTTGAGCTCTCTGGTTACTGCTGGTTTTGGTTCTTCAGTACAAATGTGTACGGCACTCATCTTTGTTGGAGGCTCAAAATCTTGGTATTATACTTATTCTTTAGTTTTGCATGATTATTTTGTTTGGTTCTGTTGAAATTTGTTCATCAGGGAGAAAAACCTGAGCAATCCTGCTTATCCCCAAGGTAGTTTGGGTTGAGAAAATTCAAGAATGCTACTTGTACACACTTGGTACACAATCTCCTACACAACCCTCTCACATGTGTGTGGGTCCACAACGGGCCCCACATTGTGGGACCTACACACGTGTGAGAGGGTTGTGTAGGAGATTGTGTACGAAGGTGTGTAAGTGTAGCAATGTTCGAGAAAATTTTATTGTATGTTTAATTGCTGATGATGGCTGAACAATTCAAAACATTTCCTACATCATCTTAGAAGATGTTGAATGTCTCCAGTCATGAATAAATACGCAAATGTTAAATCCCAAGCGTCTTAGTGGAATTTAGTCTACAAGACATAACTCCTAAATACCGAGTAAATATTTTGTGAAGCCTGAAAAGGCAAGGAAAAAGCTTTTGGCCTGGATCAGAAGGTGATGCAATGCTTTTCATCTTAAGGTTCTAACTAGAAATTGCTGGAATTAAATTATGTGCAAGAGGGGAATGGATCATAAGGACAAGAAGTAGCTGGCAATGGGTCTATTTTTAACAGAATGAAAAGAGATTAGAGCAACCAGTTACATTACATGACCTTCTCATAACCTCATTTTCACCTTATCTTTAATCGGCTTTATCTCCTGCTTAACACAATTTTCAGTGGTCTAGCTGAAGTGTGTAAATTTCAAAAAATTATGGAGCATTCTACATTTTACATTTTTGTGGGAGTTAAATAATGAGATTATAGTTCTTCTTCAGTAGCCTCATTTTTACACAATAAGAAGTGTAGAACTTTGCCTAGTTCATCATGATATGTGCATGTGTTTATATTCTTTAGCAGCACTTTTCACTTGGGGGCTATTCTGGTCTTATTTGATTCTTCTGGTTTCTCTTAATGTTAGTTGACCAACTGTATTCGATTAACACTTAACAGTACTTTTTATAATGAGCTTGGGAGTGGAAATTTGATTTATTAGTATGACAGTAGTCTAATATCCACCCCAGGGAAGATAAGTTGGTGGAGCGCGCCAAGGCACTCAGAGTAGATGCTGGAACTGAACCAGGTGTCGACATTGGTCCAGTGATTAGTAAGCAGGTGCGGTAATAGATATTGTTGCTTTATCAATTTAAAATAAATTTGGATAGTGAGGATGCTATGGCATTATGAAATGTTTTGCAATTGTTGCTTTTGGTAATACAAGCAAAGCTATATTGTCTATTGGTTATCTGTTCTCCTCATTCCGCTTATTGCCTAGTATATGTAATGTGCTATCACTGGCATATGTAGGTTAAGGAACGGATATCCAGGGTGGTGCAAACATTTGTTGACAATGGTGCTCAATTAGTCCTCGATGGGAGAAAGATTGTGGTATATCTTCCTGCTCTACATTTCTACTTCTTCAGATTCAGAGTATGCATTTGATACCTGATGTGTGTTTATTAGCTGGCTTATCCAAGTACACACACTCAAAAGAAACATAAAAAGCAAAAAATTTAGAGAAACTAATATTGAAACTATTATTATAAATAAATTGAAGGCTGTAAAAGGAGCAATAATTTGGCACACATTGGGTGTACAGATTATTGAAATGCCAGACTGAACCTTAAGAGTGACAAATAAATGTTTATTTGTATTTTTCTTGTTGTGCCTTGTTATTTATGAATTATTTCCCCCACTAGTGTTTTAATGAATGAAAAGTACGAGTCCATTTATTTATTCTTACTGTTTATTGTTGAATAAAATAGGTTCCTAAATATGAGCTGGGAAACTTTGTTGGACCCACAATCTTGACTGATGTAATGGAAGACATGGAGGGTTACATGGTATCTGGTCTCTTGTTCCGAGAACCTTGTGTATAGTTCATGATCATTGGCAAGAGGAAATGCAAACTTTGATAAATTTTAATCTTGGTGTCTGCAGGGGGAAATTTTGGGTCCAGTTCTTCTTTGTATGCAGGTCGATCTATTATTTTACACATATAGCATTTCTAGTTTGTTGCTGCTTATATCTTTATGTTCAGTCACATAATTGTTTACTTATTGACCTCTCGTGCTCAGGCTGCAACTTTTGAAGAGGCAATAAGCATTGTAAACAGAAACAAGTATGGCTTCTTCTTGGATATCCACGAGTTTTTGTATCTTTCGTATATCAGTATTCGTCTGATTTAAATTGTTCTATTTTCTTGGAGTAGACATGGAAATGGAGCATCCATATTTACATCCTCCTGTGCTGCTGCAAGGAAATTTCAGAATGAGGTTGAGTCTGGGCAAGTAAGTGCGTTTTTCACCTTGTTAACTATCTTCTTTAACCGGTCTGAACAACTTATTTTAACTTTGAGCTCTGACATGAACTTTGAACGGACTCAGATTGGCATCAATCTGGCTGTTCCAACACCGTTACCGCTGTTCTCATGTTCCGGGTCCAAGGCATCATTTACCGGAGATACCAATTTCTACGGTATAACATCTTCGATATGCCGAAATGCACTTGAGCAACTGTCGATCTATAAGAGTGCTTTGTTCCTAATTTGTTAATGGTATTCCCACGAGTTGCAGGTAAAGATGGAGTTAAATTTTACACCAAGATGAAAACAGTAACTCAGCAATGGAAAGACTTTTCTGGTAATGGAACATCTGCAAACATAATGTCAAATGATCATCCGAATAATGGTGAAGAACAGAATACATTGCAGTCACTAGATTTCCCGAGTAACGATGTTGTATCCCTGGGATTGCATTTGAGAGATTTCTCAAATAATGAAGTGGTATCGCTCCCATTGCATCCGAATGATATTCACAGTAGGGAAGGGGTGTCTATACCGTTGCATTCAAAGGATTTTCCAAGTAGTGAAGGGGAATCTCTTGTTGAACATTCAAGGGACATTCTGAATTCTGATGGAATATCTTCGGGGCTAGCATCATTGGACGGATCGCATTGGACGCTAAACTTTTAGTGCACATTTGTGTTACGAATAGAGTAATAGTGAAAAAGTACAATGAACAAGATTTTAGCTTATTTTCTTCTTTAATTATGTTCACAGTTTATCAATCTTCTGCACAAAAAGAAAGATTAGGTGCATCTGCACACATCTCTGTGTGATTTGTTTTATTGGGTCTGATGGGTACACGAAAGTGACGAAGCTGCTTTGACTACATGACCATACCTGTCTCTTGGTGCGAATTGGATGATCGGCAATTTCACTGTGAAGTGCATATTTCAATTCAGAATAATCTATTAGGATTATCACCAATTGGAAGTAAATTATTTTGATTATAGTCTTACTAAGCATGTGAATCGAGATCTCAATCCTGTCTAGGAGAAAGTAATATTTTGTAAGAAGCGATTTTTTAAAAAAAATGCGTCCACATATAAAATATTTTATTTAGAAAATATGTTGTTGAAAATGAATATTAAGCTAAATTTGATTTGCAAATAAAACTAGGAAGTTAGAATATAGAAAAGTTAAATATATTATTATTCCCTTTTTTTTCCCCTTTTATTAGTTTTTGGCCTTTATTCATTTTATTCTACCAAAAGTACATATAAAATTACTTTTACAGACGTCAAGTGAATACAATACATATAAAGTTACTTTTTCATAGATCAAGTTGATGAAAATTGATTATTAAAGATTAATATTTTACAAATTTTAAGTTCGATGCTAACTTGTAATATAGTGAATAATGTTGAGAAGATTTTCGGTGATATTATCTCCTAAATTTAACTATTTCACTTAAGATATTTAGCCCTTGTTTGAGCCACGTTCTTTTTTTCATTCACATTCTTCTACTCATTTTCAACCACACATTCTTCAATAAAATAATATTTACCGTCACATCAATAATTTTTCATTCTTTTTCAACCACACATTCTCCATCAATTTACTATTTCAAAATACATTCTTCTAAAATAATGTGGCTCAAACACACACAGTCCGTAAAATTTCATCTAAACTTGAATTTGATATTTTTACTTGTTTCATAGACTTGTAAAAATGTAAAACTTGCCTAATTATTTATTTATATTTGATAAAAGAACCCCCTAGGACCCACTGTTATCTATAATTACATAGAAATTCTACTTATTTTCAAAATAAATTATAAGTAATCTCTATCTCCTCATAGGCATATGCTACAGTGAGGCAGTATACAGCCAGAGGGTGGCAACGGGATTACTGTTTCATCAAAGATTCGCGATGGTGGTGCTGAAGCTTGCACTTCAACGAGGTATTTAATTTAATTCCTGAGCTGTTAAGCGTGTGTATAATTTTGTTGTTTATCCGATCATTTGATGAATATGGGTATTGTATGCGTTATAGCGAATTGGTTGATTAACTTGCAACTCGAAGCCCTAACCATTGATTTGATTATTGTTTGTGTGTTTATATTTGCGTCTTGGTGTTTCTTTAGTGAGGAACGTGAGGCTGTTGAGTCCTCGGATATTTGCGCTTGCCAATTCTCAGTTTTCAACTGCTGCCGAACAGTCTTGGAGAAATGGAAATTCTCTTGTGAGTACTTTTTCTTTTCTGATTTGTCTGTTACAATAGTAGTTCGTTTCCAGTTTTTTCCATTCTTATTGCACTTGATATTCTGAAAATAAAGCACCCGTGGAAGATGAAAATGGATAATGTGAATTATTGAATTTTATAATATGTGTCTGCTTTGGGAATTCCAATTATGCTCACTTTAGCGTGAAGTAGAATATAAGGAACAAAAGGGTGTCAAAGTTGTTAAAAAAGAGCCTCTAACCCATGAATGTTAGGTAAAAAAAGAGTAAGCAGGAATGTCATTGTCGTAGTTTTAGTTTTCATTATTTTTCTTTTTCACTTCCTAAGTTCATGTACCGAGTGTATGCATCAACCTTTGGGGTTAATTGTTGCATTAATCCTTTTTTATTTCAGAGAGTGCCAAATCTCGTTGGTGGTAGCTTTGCAGATTCAGAATCATCAGAATCAATTGATGTCTTGAATCCGGTTAGTGAATGAAACATTGTAACAATACAATTTCTTTATATTTAGTTATCAGTATTTCTTTAGTGTTTATTTTCTTTGATTGGTTGATATCATAGGCAACACAAGAGGTAGTTTCGTAAGTACCGTTAACTACAAAAGAGGAGTTCAAATCTGCAGTATCTGCTGCAAAACAGGCCTTTCCATCGTGGCAGAACACACCAATAACAGCACGGCAGTGCGTTATGTTTAAGCTGCAAGATCTTATTCGTAAAAACATGGTTAGCATGTTGAATTGATTTATCTAATTGGTTTTTATTCTACATGTGATTAATACTGATTAGAACTATTACAATTCTCATTCTAGGATAAGCTTGCCTTGAACATTACCACCGAACAAGGGAAGACACTTAAGGATGCACAGGGTGATGTGTTCCGTGGGCTAGGTTAGTACCTTTATAATATGTATGTGTGTGTATACATGTATTCTTTTCATTTTATTCTCACTGAACTCTGTAATCATTGCGGTTGAGTTCTTAATCATTGTGCTCATTTTCTTGAAGAGGTGGTGGAACATGCTTGTGGGATGGCAACACTGCAAATGGGAGAGTATGTTTCCAACATGTCAAGCGGAATTCTATAGCATTAGAGAACCTCTTGGTGTTTGTGCTGGGATTTGTCCCTTTAATTTCCCTGCAATGATTCCCCTATGGGTAAATATGCTTTCTTTTATTTTTCTCAATTGTTTTCCATGTCATTCAGATCTATCAATGCCCCTTTCCTTCCTTTCTTATCATATCATATCTTTCTTCCCTTTGTTTTGTGGGGGAAATAATATTGATGTTCTAGTAAATCAATCTAGTATAAGAACTTTTTCTCTTTCTAATCTCATGTGCAACTTCATGCAGATGTTTCCTGTTGCAGTTACATGTGGAAATACCTTCGTCCTAAAGCCATCTGAAAAAGATCCAGGTGACTATTTTCTTTAATTAATCTGGTTTATTACTGAATCAGTTGTTTGCTTCCTAATGTTTTAGCATCTGGCATTCTGGATCAAAAGAATTATTTAGGATCCTCACTGGCTAAGACTATATTGTCCTAAGCTGATATGATTTTTTATTGCGTGGAAATTGTGGATAGTTTTAAACGATATACTTCTCCTTTTTTTTAGCTTCGTGAGATATTGCTTGGAGTATATAAACTTGTACCGGCACACCAATAGACCATTGTCTGTACACATTGACAGAAGTTCGTACTACCTTTTCTATTGATGAAACTTATCTAATTGGCATCTCACTGATTGTTTAGTTACATCTGTATCTAAATGTATAGCAACTTGACAACTTATTTCAAGTGGCGCAAACTATTCCTTTTTAAGATTATCAATGCATTCTTTATCTAGCATTTGTGACTTGACAACTTTTTCATATAATTCTGTGGTAAGTTAACTCCAACTTTATACTTGTATTAATTACTCAAAACAGTGAAACACAGTAGACTTCACTCCAAGGCTGCATTCACTCCAGCCTTATGCACTGGCTTCCCGACGCATTTACCCATCTGAAAATTGTCTCAATTCATTATTACATTCAACTCTGTATACATTCATACGTCATGTTTCTCATTTAACCTTGTTTTATTGGTATTTTTTGTGTTAATGTTTATTAGTGTGGCTATCAATATGAGGAAATCAGATGCACAAGACATTTCTTCAACTTCAAAATTATTGTCTGTGGTTAATTTGGAAACGTTTTGGCATCTGGATTGGATAGTTTTAAACGATATACTTCTTTTTTTTAGCTTCGTGAGATATTGCTTGGAGTATATAAACTTGTACCGGCACACCAATAGACCGTAGTCTGTACACATTGACAGAAGTTCGTACTACCTTTTCTTTTGATGAAACTTATCTAATTGGCATCTCACTGATTGTTTAGTTACATCTGTATCTAAATGTATAGCAACTTGACAACTTATTTCAAGTGGCGCGAACTATTCCATTTAAAGATTATCAATGCATTTTTCTTTATCTAGCATTTGTGACTTGGCCAACTTTGACAACTTTTTCATATAATTCTGTGGTAAGTTAACTCCAACCTTTATACTTGTATTAATTACTCAAAACAGTGAAACACAGTAGACTTCACTCTAAGGCTGCATTCACTCCAGCCTTATGCACTGGCTTCCCGACACGTTTACCCATCTGAAAATTGTCTCAATTCATTATTGCATTCAACTCTGTCTACATTCATACGTCATGTTTCTCAGTTAACCTTGTTTTATTGGTATTTTTTGTGTTAATGTTTATTAGTGTGTCTATCAATATGAGGAAATAAACCCTGAGGGGTTGCTCAATTGGTCAGGTCTTGGGTTTGCTCCACAATGGTCACCAGTTTGAATTCCCTCAGGGTCACTGAGGTGAGTACCCGGTCGTAAACTTCAGGGCCCCGTGGAATTAGTCGAGGTGCGCGCAAGCTAGCCCGGACATCCACGGTTATCAAAAAAAAAAAAATTCAATATGAGGAAATTAGATGCACAAGACATTTCTTCAACTTCAAAATTATTGTCCGTGGTTACTTTGGAAACGTTTTGGCATCTGGATTGCTTCGAATTTTCTAATGTTTAGCTCCTTATTTTGTTTCAGGGGCTTCTATGATTCTTGCCGAGTTGGCCATGGAGGCTGGTTTGCCTAATGGTGTCCTGAATATTGTACATGGCACTAATGCATGTTCTGTTCATTCAGTCATTTTCTACCACTATTTTCTTTAATGACACCAGTAATCATTTCAAACCCGAAAATAACCTTTTTTAAGGGTCATTTATTCATCCGGGATCTGTAACGTACATATAGTTTTCATTCTGTATCTTTCACATTTTATCTTGTTGTTCTTTCTTGTAGGACATTGTAATGCTATATGTGATGATGATGATGATATTAGAGCTGTATCATTTGTTGGCTCGAATACAGTAAGTAGTTCCAAATTGAGTGTTGCGATTGACTTTTTCATGTCAACCAAACATTATTTGGAGTGATGTTAAATTATTAACTTCTAGGGGGAAAATTTTCACAAAAGGTATACCATACTTGGATCAAAAACATGCTCATACATGCAAGGTCTACCACAAAAACATAATCTTCTATCGAGGCCTTGTTCTACAATTTTGGTCTGATCATCTTAGCCACAATTGACACCAAAACCACCTTCATTATCATCCGGTCATCCAAAAAATCCTCATTTATTGATTCCCATAGTTGATAAAAAAAAAAAAAAAAGGAGAAGAAAAGAACGAGGCCCTTTTTACTGGATAACCATTGTTTCTGGGATTTGATATTAATTCGTCTTTGTGCATTGGATTAAGGGCTTTTTTGTTTTGTTATTGTCTTAGGCTGGTATGCATATTTATGGAAGAGCATCAGCTAGAGGAAAACGTGTACAGGTCAGTACAAACAGATATGGTTGGTATCTAGCATTCTCTAGGTGAAGCTTAAAGTTGATTCCCTAACTAACTAATCCTTTCAGTCCAACATGGGAGCAAAGAATCACGGAATCGTATTGCATGATGCAAATGTGGATGCTACACTAAATGCTCTAGTTGCAGCTGGGTTTGGTGCTGCAGGACAAAGGTGCATGGCACTGAGCACGGTGGTCTTTGTTGGAGATTCAAACTCATGGTATTCTCCTTGTTTGTGGTATTTTCTCTAAGAATGCATAAAATTTACTTTCTCGAATCTCAGAAGGGGGGAGTATATTACCATAAAAAGCTAGTTTCTGATTATTCACCTCATGGTATACGTTGCTGTAATTGGAGAAGACCATCTATTGCATATTTTTGCCTCCTCTATTCTGGAAGGGAAAACATATCCATAAGATTAGTACCTTCATTATTTCCTCTTCAATGATAAATTTTCTGTAACCCATTTGAACCTTTGTAGGGAAGAAAAGTTAGTTGAGCGTGCCAAAGCCCTTAAAGTAAATATTGGAACAGATCCTGATGCAGACCTCGGTCCAGTCATCAGTAAGCAGGTACAAACGGACTCCATAAGTAGTATTACTAAAATTGCATCCGCTAGAACCTTTATCAATAGTTTTTTAACCACTCAGCAGCTCATGATACTTCCTCATTTTCCATGTATATTTATTTTGTGGGTCATTAATCATGTTTTCTCTTCTACATTCTTAGGCAAAGGAACGAATATGCAAATTGGTTCAAGGTGGCGTTGGCAGTGGAGCCAAACTATTGCTGGATGGAAGAGCTATTAAGGTATTTCAGTTATTTAAGCCCTTGTCCACTCACCTTTTCTGCTATGCTGAGACACAGAAAGTGAAGAAACCTACTTTTCCAATGAAATTTGATAAATTGCTGCTAGGTAGCATCGACTTGTTTAAAGCCCTGTTATCTTTCTACATGCATGCCGTTCATGACAATGACAATCTTTTCCTGAGCTGATGTGGATGGTAATGTAGGTGGCTTTAATTAAATTTAATTTACCCTCGTCAGTGATAATGCATCGTGTTGAAACATGTTGAATTATTGCTGTATTATTGCTATAATTATGGCTGTCATAGACTCATATAGCTGTTATTGTCTTTCATATAGCCATAGTTGACCATGCTTAATTGTATATATTTGTTTGCTTAATTGTAGAAGAATTTTTGTCTGTATATACCAGTCACTGTAATGTTTGAAACATAAATGAAATTCAGAAATTTCTTCGATTTGGATTTTACTGTGGTGGTCATACAGATCTAATAATATATAATAAGTAGTTGTCCATATTGATCTGGGCACATTACTTGTGGGAAGATAGCAGATGTCAGCAGAACTAAAGCTAGAAAAGAATGGAAATTCGTTTATAAGTTGAAATGCATGTCATGGGAATAGAAGAAAATTACAACTATGGAAAGTTATAGTGATGATTAATTTGTTAAAATACTGTAAGCTCTTTTAGAAATAACTACCTCATCACTACTTGTGTTGAAAATGATCGATGAGCTAAGGAACTATTTTTCTTCCACCTATTGCTATTAGGTGCCAGGATATGAACAAGGTAACTTTATTGGCCCCACCATCTTATCTGATGTAACTGCTGACATGGAATGTTATAAGGTATGGATTTTGTCCCCCCCTCCCAATTGAAAAGGTAGCTTGAATCTTATTTCTTTCGCTTATTTAATCTCTCTTGTTATGGGATTTCAGGAATGATCTTTGGCCCTGTTCTCATCTGCATGAAGGTACATCAATAGTTAGTTACCCGGCTCCAATTGCTACTAAACTGAACATGGGTAAATGCTGAGAGTTACATATTTCTTGTTTCTCATCTCAGGTGGACAGTTTAGAAGAAGCCATAAACATAGTCAACAGAAATAAGTATTTCCTATTTTTCAGATCTCTTTTATCATCAAGTTCTTTTTCTTTGTTTTTTATTTGAATCTCACACCGTGTATCTAAATTTCCAGATACAGGAACGGTGCGGCTCTTTTTACTACATCCGGTGTAGCTGCAAGGAAATTCCAAACTGAGATAGAGGCAGGCCAGGTATCACACTCTGTTGCTTAATATATATCACTTAACTAAACGATATTGCAAGATTGAAAGGATAGTCTATGATGAGCCTAAATTTTAAAATTTTCATCATTTTGT